GGGGGGGGGGGGGGAGCAGAGTTTTGCAGAGTTTTGTGGATGACCTGCTGCTCTCCCACACTGCTGGCAATATTGGAATAAACGCTCATATACAATTCAACCCTGTCTCTGCTTAATTGGCTCACGCAGTGACAGGTGGCCCATTTGTTGTCTGTTTTCAGTGGGGCCAGTGGCCCTTGAAGCCTAGGTTCTCTCTGTCACCCGGACGCCCTGGAGCACAAATTAGGCAGCCGGAGCGGCTGAGAGCTTTCTCCCTGCTTTCCCTGGACAGTGGACTGTCCAACCTCTGCAGACTCCACTGCTCCAACCTGGGCCCCTCTGCCATGTGTCTGATGCAACTTCTCAGATAAAGACTATGTGGACAGGAGCATGTTCTTGAATCAGGACCTTCTGGGGAGGGTAGAGCCCCCTACTGTCTGGGCCCCGCCTTCAGGGACAGAGTCATACTCCGTGTATGTCCTCCAGCCCCTCGGGTGTTCCCAACATTGAAAGGCAGAATCTCTGGAGGTGGTTCTTACAAACATCTCAAGTACCTCGCAGCACTTCTCAAACACGTGTGTTGAATGGAAATGTTCCTCACCTTGATGGCCTTAAAGCGTTCAATTCCGTGGCGTAAGTTGTTGCAACAATTATTACAGTTGCAGTTGGTGCAGAAATCCCCGCTGGCAAAGCAGTCGCAGTACCTGTGGGGACAGTCACACAGCGGGTCACAGGCGCCACGGCTGATCAGCAAGGAAACAGCAGGACGCGAGGGTGGCCGGCCCGCGGGGCCCGCACACTTCTACTTAGAGATCGGCTCCCTTCTCTGTGAAAACCAGATGGACCAGATGGCACCCTCCAGGGACCCCCCAGGAGAGAGAAACTCCATTCGTTTCCTATTATAGGAGTTTGCAAAGCAAAACCACCTCCCAGAAATGTCCATTGCTGTCCGCCGTCGCCTGCCCCTGGCCCTGCTGTGCTTGTCCCTGGAACACAGCCCGTCGGGGTGATAACATCAGTTAATAAAGGGCCGCCTTCCCGCCAACTGTCCACCCCCTCCGACAGGGCACAGCGGAGTTCCCTCCCTGCCAGGCTTGCCTGGTAGCGAGCTAGGGACCCGGAGGTGGCACCTGGTCTAGGGTTCATCTCACTGTCCTTCCTGTCAGCACGCGGGGAGAGGGGGAGCTTAATGGTGAGGACACCGCGTGACGGTCGGCACCGGGCCCTGGTGGGTCGTCTCTGAGACCGTGCCCACCTGCCCACCATGCCCACCGTGCCCGCCGTGCCCGCCTGCCCACCGTGCCTGCTGTGCCCACCTGCCCACCGTGCCCACCTGCCCACCGTGCCCACCATGCCCAGGGCTCAGGGAGCCGCGACGACGTTACAGTGGCAGGTGAGCAGCGGGGACCTTCTGTGACAGCTTTTCCTTGATGAGCCCTCAGTGCTCACGGCTACCAACTGTGTCGCCTGCTGCGTGATGGAGGCATCGAGAGGCTGCGGCTTATTTTTATTCGGTGTGAGCAGGGACAGGACATTTCCTCAGCTCATGGAAAAGCTCAGTGTCCGGCGAGGACTCCTAATGGCCACCAA